TTCTAAGAAATGCCACTGTTTACATTTTGCAGTTTTTACATTTCATAGTGGTTGTCATTCGGACTAATATAAATTAAATTACTAAATCTATTTTATGTCTGGTGTCAGCACTAGATTCTGTGGGTGTCTAAAATAGTCCCTCTTTGTGATTATGGTAGCAGCATACCCCAGATCCCCTGATTCTATTTCAAACTGCTTTTGAGTGGTTTGATACAAATCAAGGTTCTCTTGGGCACCTGTTGCCCAGCCGGTCATTATGCATATTGTTATGGTGGAAGTTACCTTTCTACATTCCAAATATCAATTTCACCCATGTTTGGATGGAATTCAATGGCTAAATGCATTAGCGGACATGAACAAAGGTGACAATGCAAATGATGAAGTGTTACTTTTGCTATAACAATACAGTAATAAAAGGGCAGCGGGAGAGAGCCTTTGTTTTGGAACCTGGATAATTAAGCAAAGGATATGCTGGGACCATGTATACCGCTTTAATATAGAGAGTCCTGGCCTTTCAGTTCATCATGTTTATATGTTCTGGTAAATCTGGTATGCATGTTTAATCCTTAAGCATAGTGGATATGGTGAGCTCTGGGTGATAGCTCATTTAATCGGCTAGTCAGCCCGTACCATGCTTTTGAATGAAATTAATGTGTTACAACCTATTTATTTAATTATATAGTGCAGAAATATCCAAAATATAATACTTTATAGTTGCAGAATCTACAATGCAAGCTAACTATTTACAGTGCAAAGTCAAAGCTTAACCTATAAAGTAGCTTTATCTATGTATCCTTGCCCTTTGGAATGATTCAGGTAAACTGTTGAAGTCAGCATCTCACGGCAGGGCATCTGATAGAATCCAATTTAAGTAAAATTTCTGCACAAAGTACAAATGTCTTTGACTGCCTTGATTAAGTGTAAAGTCGCAAGGCTTGCAGGTGTCATCATAATGAGGTGACTTGGGGCATGAGAGCTTAGATGTTGTAAAAAATATTCTGTAGATGTCTTCACTTGAGTTGTTTCCTTAAATAATTTAACAGAATTTTGTGGACAGCTAGTCATTAATGTTGCAAAGAAATACAATATTATATTATGCATGCCATATTCATTAATTAATTTGGAGAAAGCAGAAGTGAATATAACAAACATCAAGGGTGACTTCTTCTCGACTTGCAGTAGATACCCACTAAGTTGTAAGCCCAACATTATAGTACACTCTGTGGTAGAAAGACTTTTGAAAATTGGTATAATAAAACAAGCTGGGATCCTCAGACTTGTGCAATAATAATTAATTATAATTATGCTAAATGCTTCTCAAATGGCAGTTTAATGTTGAATGTTTTTCCTATGGTGCTCATTGGATGTTCCCTGATAACTGAAGGTTTGAAGAAGGATGTATCAGGTCACACTTGATCATCAGTCTGCTTCGAAATGGTCTGTTTAAGCGGACTTTTCAAAACTAAAATAAAGTTGTTTGTTTCAATCTAATACTTAACTATCAGTGGACAGCACATGTTTCGGCTGGATTCACACACCCACTATAACCAACCTCAACTAATTTTGTTTGGAATTATTTCTTCACTGCTCTCCACCAACAGAAATGCTTGTCATGGACAAGCATGAAATTCAGTGCTTCTGTAAGAAAAACACTTACTACCACATTGAAGCATTAGGGAACGTTTTTTCTTTAAATAAATTTTCCATCTTCACTGCCCTTACCTAAAAATACTCTCTGTGCTTCAACTGAAAGACAAAGAATAGCCTTCTATAAACTTGTGAAATTAATGCTAGAATAGCTGGTTTGGAAAAGGAATCACAACCAGATGTATTAGTACTAAATGTTGTCCTAAATATGTGAGTCAACTAGCCAAAGCTTACTGTTTAGTAAATAGTGTTTGCCAACTTGTTGGTCATCAGTGTCAACAGATTTCTTTTCCTGCAAATGATCATTAGATTTTAAATCCCCGTTCACTATGAAACTACTCCATCAGCTTGGAGAAACAGAACAAGAGTTTAGGAAGCCAAACCACCTTACCTACATCCCAGCACATATAGGGTTTGAAAATAGTGAGTTACTGAACTGGTGAAATTAGGGCAAGAGTGCAAGTAGTTTTGAAGCCTTTCTGCCATTAAAAGAACACTCCACACACATAGAGCACCTCAGCTTGCTTAAGTACTTTATGTGTCACTATATATATATTTTTGAATTCTTTATTTGATGAGAGACAGTCAGGCAATCACATGGCCGGCACAGCGTCCGCAATACCCCATAGCAAAATACAACTTTTTGGGTATGAACAACATAAATAATTTAGTTATACATAGTATGACAGTTCAAATGTTACTAGTAATGTTACATGGCATTGTTAGTATTTCACATTTATTCATGGGTTAAGTTGTGTGTTCAGTTTCGTTAGTGCTCTGACCATTAATTTTAAATTTTTACATTTTTTTTTACAAAAAGTATAACTCTGAAGAGGTAGGTTGAAAGGAAAATAAGGAAAAGAGGTTGGTTTTAGTAACCAAGAACAAGGGGTTATCTCCTTGAAGTCTGGTCAAGTGCCCTTGAGGTCATATGTCACTATATTTTAACGGCAATTTATAAAGTAATTATTTTTTTTATTTAAAATAATCACTTTTATGAATTATTGCAGAACTGCCTTCCCAGCTATTAATCATACAGCTGGGGAGGTTATCTATTAGTTCTGTTAGCTACAAGTACCAAATGGACGTGGCAGGTACACGCATGTCCACAGAATCCCTGGCTTGCCTAGCTAGCTCAATGAGAAGTCTTTAAACTGGAAGCTGTGCATGTGAGATTGCAGTTTAAAACTAGATGCTTCTCGCTGAAAGTCTGTTGTGGGGACTAATGTGAGGGCTTGCAAAGTTTTCAGCCAAGAGATCTGTTAATACATATACCCCCAATAAATGCATGCACCTACTAAATCTAAATAAAGTTTTTTTGCCTTCGGAGTGTTCTGTTAGTCTGCTGGGATTCAATTGCACATAGATTGTGGATATTGAATGACTTACTGCTATACCTCCAACTTTAAGAGAGTTATTCCTGTATCCTACAGCATGGATTATAGAATGGAACAGTTCCAGAAGGTAGTTCCCATCCCACCCAAATCTGTTAGTGTCAGTATTACAAGTTGATCCAGCACGCAGTACTGTGTCACACCTAGGACGAAGGATAATGTATAACCGGACCGTAGAATGGACAGACAAGACGTTTCCAAGAATAGTCAAACTACTTGCCGAGGTCAGGGACACAGAATCAGACACAAATATGAGGGAAAGCCAAAAGTCAAGGATACCAGATATCAAGGAAGTCAAAACAAAGCCAAAGTCAAATACCAGAAAATCAAGATCAGGAATGCACTCTCAGATAACCATAGGCATGAAACCACGACAGGGCAATGAGCAAGAGGAGAATTGGGTTTAAATACCCCTCCTGTGGATCCGATTGGCTGTAACCGGCCTTTGACCCCAAAGGCAATTACCAGGTGTGCATGATTGCTTCTCAGCTAAACCCTCTTGTGGATTTGATTGGCCATGTCTGGCCTTTGACCCCAAAAGTAATTACCAGGTTTCCATGATTGCTGCTTGGCACAACTTTTCCTGTCAGGACGGTAATGTTGCTCGGCACAACTTTTTTCTGTCAGGACGGTAATGTTGCTCGGCACAACATTTCCTGTTAGGACAGTAAATGCCATTAACCACATTTTTATGTGCGGATGAATACGTGACAGTTAGGCCACACGCCACAAAAACTGGATCACTAAACAATTTCAGTGTGTTCCAAATGTTTGCAACAGATACATTGTATTTATCAGGCAAATTCCCACAAAATGTGTATTGTGGTAGTAATGCCACATCAATTTAGATTGCTAAGACACTGATAGGAGTTAAATAAAAACATTTAGCAGAATTTGTTTTGCTGTGTAATATATTACAGTTCTAATTCAAATGATCACAAGGCAAATTTTACAACGGATTGCAAGCAGAGCAGATGCAGGGGCTGAATGAGAATATAGAATACTGAGATACTGACAAAACCTGAATGACGGAGGTGCCTTAAGGACTGGGTTTGAGGACCACCAGGCTGGAAGTTAGATGGGAATACCCTGTTTTCTACTGCTAAATGCAAGCAAGTCTCAGTGCCACTCCGTTGTATTCAGGATCATTAAACCTTAGGTGACTCATGGTTCTTTCATCCTGTGTGTAGATCAAAGATCAAGGATTCCATGGGATTCCAGCAAAACCCTGCATTTTAATAATAAAGGCTAGTTTACAGAAGCCATGGTCATCCCAAGACAACTTTAACATAGTCAGCTGGTCAGGCAGAATAAATCATATTACATACTTACCAACGCCAAAGAGTGGCAGCTAGAACAAGTAGAGGCATATGCAGACTAACATAAGATGATCTGTCGGTGATACAGATAGTTCCCACCCATTAATGGAGTGTGTCATCCTGACTTGCTTAAATCCATGGCCAAGCAGGGTTGCATAAATTCAGTGTGAATCAATTCCAGAGGCATTGCTAGGGGCAAAAAGCACCCAGGACTTTATCCAAAATATAATTTGGCGATTCCTTCATAAAGCCCCACCTCTAGACTCTACTCAAACCCTAACCCTCCTTAATCCCCACATCTGTCTCTTCCCAATTCAACCGCTTAAAAGACAACTTCACCCATTTAAGGACACATGCATATACACATACACACACAGTCCAGCAGACAGACACACATAGACATGCAAAAGCACACACAGGCATAGACAGACAAACACAGAGACAGACCAGCAGACACAGACAGGTAAACATAGGCACAGACAGGTACCAGAGATTAATTAAGATCCCAAGTGGCACTAGGGAGGTTACCAGGTTGGACCTTTCCCCTTCATTATTCACATAGACATGCTTGATGGGGTCAAGCAAATTCATGGTTCTGGGCCCCTGACTAACCCCTGGGCAGCTGTTTAGGGTCAGGTGCATGCAGACACAGACAGGTGCCTTTAGACAGGTACACAGAGACAGGCGCAGACAGACACACAAGCACAATCAAGCTCATACAGACACAGACCGGCACAAACAGGCACAAAAAGACACAGACAGGTACAAACAAGCATTGACTGACACAGACAGGCACACACAGACACAGATAGGCACACACAGACATAGACAATCACACAGGCATATATATATGTAATAAGAAATGGCTCTATTTCTTGGAGGTTGGATGAGAGAAAGGCAGATGACTGGTCACTTTTTCAGCAAAGCCACAGCTTCAAACCTTCTGTATTGGGAACCTTAATTGTTCATCTCCCCAGCCATCTCTCCAGACCAACCTCTGGACTCACAGAAGAGAGCGTGAGCAAGCAGGGAGAGCACAGCAAGTAGAGACAAATAGATCATGGGCTATAGGTTCCCTCAGCCTCCCTATAGAGCCCCTGAAGTTTTTATATGGGCCAAAATGTTCTAGAATTCTTGACAAGTGCATTAATAAGCACATTTAAACATGACCTAGTGCTGCTCGTGGCTCTTTTGGGTTAACCAAAGAAAACATCAGGAACAGTGGTATATAAATCTCTATGAATTTGGGACTGTTGTAAAGTATATTATCAAATTTTGTCTGCGTGGAGAAAAAAAATAAAATAAGAAAAACAGGAACTTTCACAGAGGACCACACTTACTAGTGGAAGCAGGAGGAACAGTGATACATACTACACTAAATCTACAAGGGAGTCTACAATATACCAGCAATCATAAATACCATGTTTAATTTTTTAAGAGCTCATTTTAGCAAGAGCAATACTGGGTTCAAAGAGCTAATTGTGAAGCAATCACCATAAACGAAATAATGCTTATGCTGATTATTGAAAAAATACTGCACAATGCCATATAATTTCTCTTAACTTATAACATTTTATGCTCAGATCTTATGATATGTAATTTACTATATTCTCATTATTCTTTCAAAAGAGCATGATAGTTTGCAAACTGCGCTGGCTCAGAAATTGTAATGATGTCAAACTCATTATAAATTATTTATACGGTTAGTCATTGTCTTAAAACAACCGTATGATTCAGTATTTCTAGTTAAATCTATCTATCGCACCTTTATACGAGAACCTTTTTTGTCACATTGAACATTTTTTTAAGCACTACACCCTTGGTATAGCTGGAAGGAATACCATACAACCACATCGATCCTATAGCAAAGTGATTTCTCTAATGCTAGATAACTTAAATTACATTAACCATTAATCATAAACTAAAGGAAAAGTCTGCTACAGATATTGCAGAGAACATGTAAAATATTGCCACAGTCAGAGAACCTTGAGTTTTTCAAAAATGCCTTAGAGTAGATTTTTCCTGCCATTTTACTAACGATTTTCCATAAGGCACGAAATTTGTTTTCACATGGCTAATCTTCACTTACCTTCCTTTCCGTATTGATATTACTGATAGGAGATAGACCAGCAGAATTCACTCAAGATGAAATTAAAGTTGACAGATGCTTTGAAAAGTTATTAATTTCAGTATCTACATTCTAAGAAGTGATTTACTCGTTATAAATGGAGGAAAAAAAACATATTTCGGTGTGAAACTATGGAGAAATAATATGATGTTCTTGTCTCGGGGAAAGATTTAGGAACAATTGCCTTATTTCCCAGATTATCAATTTTCTTTCTATGCTGTAGCTGTACTTATTAAACTATATGAACGCATCATAGCTCGACTTGACTTAGAGATTCAAAGTGCTTGGAAAATTGGTTAGCGGCAAATTGCTGGACTTCCTAATAACTAAGCTATTCTGGATATATCATCTTCTTTTGTGTATCGAAGAGGAACTGTCAAGCTGGTGGCAGTTCTGTCATCTCTCCACCCGGTAACTACTACAGAAGTGTTTACTGAGTTGAGGAGTGCAGGAGAGGTATATGTAGAAGATAAAACACAACTGCGTTATTTCCAGTTACTGGTGTTAGTATCTGTGGATAGTGCATGGGCACTTAATCACTTTAATAGTGCGGCATGCAAATAGCTTTATTAAGCTATTTTAATGAGCCCAAGTGCATAGGAGTTCATTGATACATTAATCAGGGCAAACTGATACTATTCTGGGTCAAACTGCTAAATGTTAAGATATATACCATTGGTTTCAACAGTGATTGCTTGTCATTTAAAGATTGCAGGGCTAGATTTATGTCATACAATTCTAAGGTTTCCATGGCCGAGCAGTTGCATGTAAGCTTTACATCACCAAGTACAATTTTTTTGTTTTTCACAACATTCTCTGTAAAATCTAGAGTCTATTGTGCATGACAATGTCAGCAAGTCAGCAATTTCTGAGATATTCAAATCACCACATATGCTATCAATATTTATTCAAAGTCAAAGTAATTTAAATCACATTCCTACTGACAAGATGTTTGGTTTGAATGAAAAAACACAACCTCTTGATCACGTCTGTATGCTTTTAAGCACTGAGTTGTTACCACATGATTGACTGATAAGATATTTTCATATATGAGGAGGTGTACAGGAGTAACTCATAAAGTAGCCACAAAGTATTTCAATACATTTCAATGCATACATACACTGATCAGCCACAACATTAAAACCACATGCATAATATCGTGTATGTTCCTCTCATGCTGCCAAAACAGCTCTGATGAATCGGGACACAAGACCACAAGACCTGTGAACATGTCCTGTGGTATCTGGCACTAAGACATTAGCAGCAGATCCTTAAGTCCTTCAAGTTGAGATGGGGCCACCATGGATTGAAATGGTTCCAGCACATCCCACAGATGCTCAATCAGATTGAGATCTGGGGAATATGGAGGCTACTGAAAGAGGCTACTGCCATAAAGGGGTGTACGTGGTCTGCAACAATCTCTAGGTAGGTGCTACAAGTCAAAGTAACTTCCACATGAATGCCAAGACCCAAGGTTTTCAAGGATAACATTGCCCCGAGCATAACACTGCCTCCATCCCTTCAGTATGTCAGGTTGTTGTATTGGAGAGCCTGTTGGTTCCGAGTGATACTTAATCCTTAATTGTAGGTTAACACAGGGAAGCTAGCAGTGTGGATCGTTGTGCCTCCAGGAGCTAATTGCTTTTCAGGAAGGCATCCATTTTATTTAAGATGTTTGTGAACAGGGGAATGATCTGTCCTACACTGTAATTACTGTGGCTCAAAGTTTAGCCAAAAATGTCTTAATGGACTAGGAACTGACAATATGTGCAATTCTCGTGCCCCAGTGGAAAGTCAACAGAACTATGGATTCTCCTCTGCAGCTCCAAAATCTTTTCAACATGTCTTAATTGGAGTTCCCCAGTGAGCTGACTTCCTGTTGTTGGCGGTGTGTGGGAATACCTCTATTCTTTTGTTCCTGCTTCAAGTGTTGACTAGCCTTCATGCTATGGTTGTCTTTTTTACTGACCAACACACATACCAAAAAAGGATTTTCTTTCTAGAAACTGATTGGTGTTAAGTGTCAGTGGCTAGCAGTGCACACCTGTCCAATTACCATGAAATAGACTATCTCTACCATTCACAGTCTGTGTGAGCAGGGCCGGACTGGGGATACGAAGCAGCCCTGGAAAAAAATCTATGCCAGCCCCATAAGTCATTGTGCTATGTAGGGTGTATATATATATATATTATATATATATATATATATATATATATATATACACACAATTGAAATAGTTGGCTGCACTCTCGGATTTCCTGAAAATGTAACTTTTATTGAAATATTTACGAGAAGATCAATGTTTCAGTCCCTCTTGTGGACTTTCGTCAGGATCATGACGAAAGTCCACAAGAGGGACTGAAACATTGATCTTCTCTTAAATATTTCAATAAAAGTTACATTTTCAGGAAATCCGAGAGTGCAGCCAACTATTTCAATTAAATAAACACAATAGAAAGTGGGTGATGAATGGTGAGAGAAAAAAAAAAAGGGGAGACTCCTGAGGAAGTCGAGAGACGAAACGCGTTGAGCCCACCTGTGGACCCTGCAGTTTGGTATCGGCAGTTTTATTTTACATATTTACTGGTTTAAAGCTTGTGCAATATTTTGTCTTCAGTTCACCATTTGATTTTATGGAGGATTGTTTTTTTGTGCATTTCCATCTGTATATTCGCACTTTGGCACTTGCACTTTGCACATCCAGTATTTTATTGTTTTTCAACTGCTGTACCTAAGGGTCTTATTTAGCCTATTGTGGCATTTTACATTGCACATGTTCTGTGCTGTCAATATTGATATTTTATAATAAATTTTTTCTGTTATATTTTTATCTTTATATTTTTTTCCTTTGTCATTTATCCTTTTTTTAACCCTATTATATCACCTTTATAGTGACTGTGGCGCTCTGTTTCTCTTTATTTCAACTATTTCAATTGCCTATATATATATATATATATATATATATATATAGGCAATTTAAATAGTTGGCTGCACACTCATGCTTACTACAGACAAGCTCACTGTACACACATGCTCACCACAGACAGGCTCCGACACACCCATGCTCCTTACAGACAAGCTCACTAACACACACACACATATGATCCCTACAGACAAGCTCACTGACACACATACAAGCTCACTCACTAGCAGGCACACACGCACACACAAACTCACTAGCAGGCACACACACACACACACACAGGCTCCCTCACTAGCAGATGCGCGCACACACACACAGAGGCAGACAGTCACTGACACCCAGGCAGACAGCCACACACACACACACAGGCAGACAGTCATTGACACCGAGGCAAACACCCACACATACAAAGGCAGACAGTCACACACACACACGCAGTCACACACAGGCAGACAGTCACACACAGACAGTCACACACTCACAGGCAGTCACACAGAGACAGTCACACACACACTCACACAGACAGTCACACACTCACAGGCAGTCACACAGAGACAGTCACACACTCACAGGCAGTCACACACTCACAGGCAGTCACACACTCACACAGAGACAGTCACACACTCACAGGCAGTCACACAGAGACAGTCACACACTCACACAGAGACAGTCACACACTCACACTCACACACTGACCTCCTTCTTACCTCCTGTTTGGAGCTCCTGGAGGCTGGATGTTGGGGAAGCAGGGACTCCTTCCTGCTTTCCATGCTGCAGTCAGCCGGGCC